GTCCGAATGGGGTTCGGGAGCCAGTAGACATCACCCCACAACAGTTCATCCTTGTTGATCTAGGGAACTGCTCACCCGTGCTTTGCATTCCAGTCGGATTGTGCTCCACCTTTCTGCATTGCAGTAGCTGGATGCTTTGTTACACATGCCACCGTTCAGGTTTCCTTGACATGCGATGTTTGCCGAGTCAGACAGTAGTTGGGAGAAGACCCATACGGGCTGAACTAAGGTGATCGAAGGGCCTTTTCATTTCGCTAATCATACTGCCTAATGATGCGATGTATACTTGCAATCGGATCAGATATTTAGTGTTGACAGGACTACTTCAATTCCTCTTCCTTGCCCTTCACGCTCCCTAACCACACTGCACATTCCTATTTACTCTGTACACATCAAGGGCTTAACCACGATCAGCGGGGTTCCCTTCACTCTGTTCTGCTGTGAGATACTAATACTAACGACGCTTCCATTGGACAATCGCCTTCATCTAGCCTAAATCATTAGCTTCAAGTCAGTACTGAAATGTCTGTGAGCGCAGCAACTACCTTGTATATACCGAAAATAGGGATTTAAACTTGATTCTTCTCTCAGCCTATCCACGTCGCATTTGCGATCATATAGCTCGAAACTTCCGCTTGTCTCCTCGTTTGGTAACAATAAATTTTGTGTATCACCCTTTTCCTCACCAATAACTTTGCCGTATACATTGTTTTCGCTCTACCCCCTCCAACCTCCATTGCACATGTATGGCTGACTCGATTGGACCCAAGGATGACGAACGGGCTCGTCACCGAGAGGCGATGAATGGATCAGAGGACAGCGGTGGATCACTGACCAAGTTAGATGCGATCCCAGAGACTAAGCTGATGCAACAACTCAGTCTGGTAGATCAAACAGAGACGTACTTGGCCTCTCGGGCAGACACAATGCGTAGCATTGAGCATACTATTGTTGAGCTGGGTGAAATCTTCCAGCAGCTGGCCACTATGGTGAGTGAAAAAGCATGTGTATAACTGTGTGTTGTCTTTGGCATTTTCACATCCGTTATACTTCCCGCGTGCAGCCAATTCTCCCTCTCATTGCTGACAATCAAACGCAGCATGCAAACAAAACTGATACCATACAAGGTTTTGACGAAGTCGTGCTTTTAACGAAATTAATTTGCTATTCCAATCGACGGAAGAATACTGTATGATTCTCCTTCGTATAGCAAACTTCACTGTAGAACGTTCATATTTTGTGCTACTTTATTCGTTTTGACGTTTTGTTAGCTCATTTTTGATCAGTTCCTTATTTTTTCTCCTTCGGGACGGTGTCCCAAAACGAAACTGAGTTGCAGATCTAACAAATAAGTGGATTTGGCACCTGTGCGTACCGGCACAGTGAAAACTCGGAACTCAACTATACTCGGTCAGCATCTGATCATCTGAGATCACATGACTATTAGTCAGGACCTCTTAGTTGAGATTCCGTAGTGTTTTGTAACAACCTATTGACCAGCATCTTTGCAATCCCGGACCTCGAGTATATTGGCTGGGTAGAGAAGCTTCATTTGCAAGTTTTCATTTAACCTTGACGAATAAAATGCTTTTACAATGGATATGGAAGTCCAGGGCTTTTTATCCAATACATAAGTGGGTTTTTTATTGCACACTTCCGTGTGATGAACAGTAGACGGGGCGAACCCCATAGTCACGAGGACCTGCTGTTCAGTGATCGAAACCGNCCGGTGACCTATGCCCCGGGACTTGGAGTGGCGAATCGCATAAGTTTAGGCGTGGTATTGAAGCGGACGATAGCAAAGCTGCCTACCACCAAATTTGGATGACAGTGGTGGGGCTCGAACCTCCAACTATAGGGTCCAAAGCACGCCAGTGACAGCGACTAAACCACTGCGCCGACACCACCCTTGTTTTAACCTAATTTAACTGATTGCCCTCACCTGTGAGATCATTTTAAAGTGAGTAATGTTATTCTTGCTCACGACAGCGGGATGCACTGCGGTAGTATGAGTGAATCCCCTGGGCCCAACTAGTTAGAAAAACTCGGAGCCCATATTACTTTCATGTCGTCGGTCCCTGTTGTGGAATAAGCCGTGAGCATGGATATCTGGGCAACTTGTTAACCAAAACGTGCCGTAAAAATGTTTTCGGAAGGTCACGGTCAATGTATGTGCAGGTGCGGATAAATCGGTATCGCGATCATGTTGACGAATGGGAGTGGCATGCAGATATATCGTCATTCGAGGGATGGGCGGTGTCTATGAGAATCTGGTTTGTAAACTTTTCACCAGCTTCCCCGTAGTGATCACATGATGGCATGCTCAGGAGTCAACAGGGTAAAAGAAACGGGACTTACAAATGCTAAACTGCAGCGGAGAGTGTGAAAGTTTTTCTTAAACAAATTAAGGCAGATAACTGTGGAGTAGTAAAGTAAAATAGGTAGGATATTCAGGTGTAGATACGAAGCGATAACCGTCTGTTAAACTCAGAATTTTCTTAGTCTACGAATTTTAAAGGTCGATCATTGAAACTTTTGAACAAAAATCTAAATGTAGGAGGACCATCGTAAATCAGTGCTTACTGTGACACCCAAGTAATTATTGGGATCTGGGCAGAGTTGGCTGTTGGACTAATGGGATCTTACAAGAATTTAAAAAAACATTCATAACATTTAGGTGTATTGGTGCCTGCTACGATTCGCCAATCCATGCAAGAGAGCTTAGATTACCGGTTATCATGAGTAAACTGTGGGTTATTATGACTGTATAGTGTACCCCTTCTCTCGTTCATCCCATAATCGTGTAACGCAAAACTTCTATTAAGTCTTCCGTCTTACGGAATTTAATCATGAGAGAGAATCAATTAGGTCTTAACTGTCGGGCAGTCCTGGTGACCACTGTTGTACTGCTTTCCGGTCTATCGCGATCTTCAGTTCTTCACGTGTCTGTCTCCAAACTGTTACATCAATAATTATTGGCAAAAATTCGGTGCCTGTGAAAGCCTCACTATAGTCACAGATGCATCTCTTGGTCTGTGATTAGACGCCCCTTGCATTTTGCGAAGTTCTCCTGTAACACTATGCGTTCCAAATAGCTTCGTAAAGGAAGTAGTGATCACCGGTCTGATTGGTCATCGAGGTGGTGGCCCGGTGGTAACGTCACCAAATTATCACCCTGGAAGATGAGTGTTCGAATCCCACCACCACCGCCTGACTTTCCCCATTTGTGTGTTGAATGGCAGCCCTTTGATTGGTCGCTTCCTCCTTCCTGAAAATTGTATCTTTGTATAGTCAATAAAAGGATGTAAAAATGAAAAAGGTGTATCGGGCATGTTGAACGTTTGACCCAGTCCAAAGGGCCTATCCGATGAACTGGACACCGTCCCCCAATGAATTACGTTTTTCGCACAAGCCACTTTGCGGGTCAAGCTTTGGCAAGTCGAAGGCTGCAGTTATGAATCCCCCAAGAAGGTTCATTTGCTTTACCCTAAGTAAACTGGATTTCCGCTCACGGGCGGTGGTGCTCAACATATGATCTGTGAGTCCCGGATTAGAACCGCTCCACCGCCGCCCGTCTTCCTAGACAGCCTTTGTATGGTCGCGGCCCCCCTTCCTGAATGTTGACTGTACATTTGTATATTCAATAAATAAAAATGAAAGTAAAAAGACATTAAAAGACAATCAAAGGAAAATCACGTTCCGGTGGACTCGGTATGTATTCACTATCAAAATTCGACTGGACCTGGATGCATCATAATCGGTAGACAACGGTTACCAGCACAACTGAGCCATAATCTTGTGTTGGGTACAGGCCTCATAACGATCTTTAAATGTTGTTCAAAGACAGTAGTCCCTTGAGAGCCATAGGTTAGCGTTAGGTCTGGTAGATTCGAAGATTCAAATTGACTACGTGATGTGCGGTAGGCCATGCTTTTTTCATCATCTTTCATTCCATCATGATTTACATTCCGATGACTCATTCTCCAGTTTGGTTTGTTAAGAGACGGTCACTGTCTGTACAAGATTGGCCTAGTTTGCTGTCTGTTTATGCCCAATAACCATCTCACCATCATTTTATTGTTATCATCATTTCCACAATAGGTTCATGAACAAGACGAATCCATTCGTCGAATCGATACCAACGTGGAAGATGCCGCCACCTCCATCGAAGCTGGTCATTCGGAGTTAGTACGGTATCTGCGTTCGGTCAGCTCAAATCGGTGGCTTATGGTGAAGGTGTTCGGTGTGCTTTTGATCTTCTTCATCATTTTTGTCGTGTTCTTCGTGTGATGCGAATACTCTACCGAGTGGGGGACCACCTCCGGCACTTTGTTTTCCATTCAATCGGTTCTCGCCCCCCCCCCCCCACGAAACCCGCCACCTGCTTCGTTCGGATCAACTACCTTGAATCCTTTTGGAAGTCCCGTGATATTGCGCCCTATCCTCCGTCCATTCGTTCGCGTACTCACGTTACTACTTGATCCTGTTTCCGAAGCCACTAGTACCACTACCAATATCACTATCTTCATCGCTGTTCCGCTGAAGTGGTATCATTGCACACGGATCTTATTAGTGGATACTGATGATCACGTTCGGTCAATTGTTTTACTATCCCCCTTTCGTGACGTTCATCTCAGTCTTTCAAGATGTGATCTTTTGGTTTCTTTTGCGTTCAAACAACCAGATACTACTGTCTCTGTCTGCTCACTTGTTCCACTTCATCACGGTGGATGTGCGCGTGGACCTGTTTAACTATCTGTGGGCGATAATCTTCTCCCGTGCACACAGGCGGAGTTTCTCTGCTTGTTGGGTAACCCGCTTTTTGATCATGCGGTCTCTTTCTCTCACTTTATCACGGTGAAGTCTGATCTATTTCTCTCTCTTTCTCTGTGGCTGTCTAAATATACTTTGGGATCCACAGAACGTGAGGGTGAAATGTTTGCAATCCAAGTCATGTGATAAACTCACACGTGTTGTTCTCTAAAGGCCTGAAATCCTCATGAGGGTTTGGAATTGCAGTGAAACATTGCGGGTCGTATGTCATACCACCAACCCGAAACTAGTGATGCATGTGTATGTGTTTACGTCGTGGATGCAGATAAATTTCTCCTTACGCAATACGAAGAAACACGTTTAGCGGTTTCAGACAGCTATTGTGTACTGAGCATAATAGACACTCTAAAGCACGGGAGCTGGGCTGGTGAACCATAAAAGGTGTCGAAATCATGATGACTATTTTACTGAATACGATGTCATTGTGGCCAACTACTAACAAACAATGTAGTTAAGTTCATTACTGTCAGGTGACTCACCATAACTGCTCGCTCGTTCATGATGTACGATACGCATCGTAAGTGTCGTTGCTACGGCCTTGATAGCTATCAATCCAATGGTGAGAATTCACTCCGTGCCCAGACCGGAAAATCGAAACGTCATTTGGCGACTTGATGCGATTCATCATCGATGCAGATGACAATAAGATAACCGCACGGTGCTCAACTGTCGGTAGTGAAGTCGTGACAAAGTGCCCTTCGTACTGGTCTACTTGCTGGGACTCTGATCACGCATTGATATGCTCCTGGTTATCTATGCAATTTGATGGCCGCTCAAAGAAGAGACGCAAACTACTTGACATTGTCAAACTCACCAATCCAGTCGTGCTGGTCAACTGTCAAGATACGTTAGCCGCCACACTAGCTACTGCTCCATAGAGGAGTGTAGAAAAATTCGGGCAAACATCCCAAACACAATGAACTCAGCCGGTTCAGACAGTTGTGGTCTAACCGGCCACGCTGTAAAACGCCTGATCTCAAACTTCTTAATGGGCACCGATTCATCTAGGCGAACAAAAATAGCTATGAGTAGCAGCTCTGTTAGGACATAAACTCAGAAAGAGCCCAAAGATGGCAGAGACTTGTGTTGGACGCTACGTGCAAAAATGAAATTAATCGGTGCTTGGAATACCTTCCGATTGTTCAAAATTGTCCCCTCTGCTAGTTCTAAATGATAGAATATCAGTGAGATAACTAGGACGTAACTGTCCATAGAAGCGGAAGTCCAAAGGTAACTCCAATCCCTGAGACATCATAAGGTGTCTGGATTAGTCAAAGTACCGTAAACCATTTATACAGATGGAGAAGAGATTCATGCAAAATGTTTCATCGCAATGTTTTCTGTAATTTCAGATGGGGAAATGCCACCTTTATATGGTAATCGCTCATTGTACTTATTATTAAGGGTTTTCGCGTTTCAAGTATAGCATTATAAGTGTGGTACCCGTCGCAACGAAATGATTGACCTCTGTCTTGCCAATGGGTTCCAAGTCATGAAGTACGTAGAACAGGCTGGTTTTCTTGAATGCTGTGGTTGCGTAGGTCAAATCTTTACCCTCCATCAGCTGATTATGCCTCTCCGAGCTTAATTGGCCCATCCATTTTCACCCATGAAGAGTTCACTCGAACAAATGAGACAGAACCGATTAACCGGACTGAGTCTCCTCCACTAGATGGAAGTAGGAGCATGGTGCCTGGGGGCTTCCTCCCCACAGACGGGAACTCTTCGTATTTCATTGGACAGTTGCCACCTTCCTTATCTGGGAAGATCCCATCCGATAAGACCACGTTCCGTCCCTCATTGAGCGTGTCAAACTAAGGGCCAGTCCGAACTTTAGGTGTGATAATGTAGGCACCAGCAAATAAGACAACCGAAACTCGAAAGCCTTACATGGGCTGTCTTTAGAAGCTCCCATATGGGTGTTTCGGTCAAATCTCTACGTTGCATTACGCCCAATACCCTGTGGGTTACATTTTTGTGTTAGGGTTCTTAACGAAGAGTCTCCTCGTCATCATAGGTGACCGCGAACTTAGCGTATTCTAAATTCGCAGGCCCCATTTGAAAAACCCACCTCATCTGTCTAGTTCTTTCATTCACTAACAAAACACGAGATGNAGATGCTTGCTGTTTCTGCTACTTGTGGTAAATCGTTTCGAGCTTGACTAGTGATGTGAGCCAATCAGAAGATTTTTGATTCATGAAATCAAAACCTATCTGCATTTAATGCCCACATTTCATCAGGTCAGTCAATTAGCTGCCTTTTCACTGTTAGACAAATCAAACATTACTAACGGCTGACTCTAGTGGGAGTATACTTACAACTTCCACTCCTATTAGTGTACGCTTGTGGACACAGATCACACCCTGATAAGAGGCGGATGCTGCTTGCATATGGCGCAGGCGCACCACAAAACAGAAGAGGGNNNNTTCAATAAAAGGAAGTGAAAATAAAAGATAAATGTATGCGAATCATCTTGAACAAAGCAACTACCTTGCAGTTCGCGTTTGGTTACACAGCTTGATTTGCACCCTCGAACAAGATCTACTTTGGATTGGGTGCCCGAGTAGTACAATAGCCTACAACATTATCTACCATGAAAATTGAACTTGAAAACTTTATTCCACCGTTACGCTTGTGCACGGTACATACCCTCCTGTCCCTCCAATTTTACTTCGTTCCACCCTCACACTCTTCCTTTGGAAAATTCAGAGGATCATACTAACAGTAGGAAATGCAGTCTTGTCCTACCCAGACTACCGTCCAAGTCTCGCCCAATCCACCACTTACCAAAACCCTTCTTCGTCCCCCGTACCTATCCAAACAAGCTACATTTACCGTGCGTAGTCTAATGCGTTTAAGACAACAGAAGTACTTGACTCGTAAGCTCGATTTGCGTTGTATCCAAGAAACTTAAATTCAAGGTTACATCATTCGATTGACCTCATCAAAGCATCCACAGAGCTTCATTTACGCCTTTCTGAGAACTCTGAGGCTGCGGCTTGCAGTCTTACTGACTTTGGCGTGGTTCTCAACGCGAGAGCGTAAGCCGCCTTTCCAAGACAAATCTTCGTGGAGGATGGGTTATGCACACTGAGACTTAGAGGCTTGTTGGTAGTGTCGTACACGCTCCCACGGACTGCAGCGAAAAATTATATATTCTACCAAATTTGACACTTGTGAGTTGAGCTTAACCGCCTTCGGAGGTGGAAATCCGCAAGGAGATCCAAGCCTTGGGATGTCACAAAGTGAAGGGCTCTAACGACCTTCATCCAGCTCTGTTGTCTGAAGTTTGGATTATTGAGGAGTGGTTCTCTAAAGGTACTAATCGCTCTATACCGCCTCCGATGGTTTAGCTACGTTTTGTTTTTGCTTGTCCATTGTTCACCTTGCTCTCTTTGCATGTACTGGGCAAGGCTGAAAGAAATGTCTTGGCGGTCAGACCATGACCTGGTTTGGGGGCATGCAGGAGTAAGCTTCTACATTGGCTTTGATTGATGCAGCCAGTCTTTCAGGTTAGGGCCTCAAGGGATGGAGACTGTCGTTGGTTAGAGACGGTAATAGATATGGCCCAGAACAGAAATCAATGGTGTGAATGCTGTACAGTCTGTTTGTTAGAACCCCGAGCCCCGTAAAAAGGACAAACAAACACAAAAATCATGAAAAAGTTTAAGGTGGAACAAAATACAAGTATTGTTCTTCTCGTTCTCTTTTTTTCTTAAGTGTTCCTCTTCTGCACTCCGATTCCACTATTTGTTGTTGTAGCGTTGAAAACATGCTTTTCAGTAAGTTGGCGAAAAATCTACGCTAAGTTTAACGCCACGCGAAAGTCCCTTAAACGCCAGCTCATTAAAAGCCTGAGTGTGAGAAGAGGCAGGTAGAAAACCTAATGTGATCCAGATTCCATGTGCGATAATAATCTGAATTTGTTTTTCACTTTTCTGCATGGAATGATCGGCTATTTTGATTACTACTACTGGTCGCCGTTATTTGCCCACGGAACAAAAGTGTAGACTACTTTCAATACAACACCGTACAATCGCGCACTCATGTTTTATATATTTTTATTCGTCCCTAGGTCTCCTGTCTGACCCAGGTAGATAAGATTCAATCCGTCTAACTCACGTGGTATGCTACTAATTTTTGTTTACCTCAGCCCATCTCGTTGCTTGGGTCACGAATAGGTGTCTTGAAAAAGGGGGATAAGATCCAATTGGATTGTCTCAGCTCAGTTTCAGTTTGCACCGCATTTATACCAGCCGTGTTCTGCGACTGATTTTCTTACTGTCTTTCGTCTACACATTCAATCGGTTAATTTGAGGAGAATAAATGGAACAGTTAAGAGCAGCAGGCGCTATACATGCACGTATCAAGTAAACTGAATCTAGAATGTGAGTGCATGCGCAAGATTCACTGTTCTCAATGCTCGGTTTTATCACCCTTATCTCTTACTACGGATTACGTTGAGCATGAAATTCTCAACTGGAAATTCCCCGGACAGGGTTCTTATACCCTCTTGTGTCTTAATCCAACTACTGATCTTCTACCCGATCTGCCTCGGCGAGCCAGACTATTAGGTGACACTCCAACCATCGCAATCTCCGAAGGTCCAGCAACCTTCTCCAACTGAGGTTGTGGCTAAATTTTGTGCGGTGTTGTCCGAAGAACATTGCCCTACATCAAATGATTCCGCAACACTATACCCGTAATTGAACAACAAATGGAGCTAGCAGCCGACGCTGTCTATTTAGGAACATAGGAAATATAGTCCCAGGTCAGATTTCCCAAAATCAGGCAGATAGCCCACAGTCTACACGGTAATGTATACCAACGAATACCCAAGGCAGTGTAGTTTCTACCTTCGCGTATGTGTACAGTTTTTTTAGCGCGCCCTTCAACGGGTTACGCTACACTCTGATACTCGTTGTCACTTTGGAATTTATCGCGTTCGTATCATCAATATCACGGTGCTAATCATCTATAGTTATTCGCATTGGGACGTGCTCCGACTGAAAACTGTGAACTCTGTACTCCCTATTAATTGTTTGTATAGTGAAAGGCATAAATGTGCTTGAATCAAAATACGTAGACGGGCCTGATGGCAGACTGCATTTGCTTGCACCTCTCCTTCCAAGATAACTTTGCCATCATTAGTCAGCATTAATGTTCGTTCTCTGTTCGCAAAGATCTCAGGTTTAACCTCCATTATGCAGACACGCATTAGGTCCAACATTGCATTCATCCATCCAATGCATCCCGATCTATCATCTTGTCGTTCCCATGCCTCCACACGTTCCTCTTTTCGGCACCTACCCTCTCGTATTAACACTTATAAAAATCCCTCTGTACCCTAACTGGCCCAACTCCTAATCAAAATGGAACAGGTCGCCAGTGAATTACGTCAGAATTTTTATACAAGAAACAAATTTCAACGACATTCTTTAATTGGCATGTTATAGAGAACTGTATATTTTTTATTCCGCGTGACAATCAGTGGACATTTTTAACTTAAATGCAAGTATATAATTTTAAACAAGTTATACAAAGATCGTTTGTTGTCGTTTATTGTCCGCCCAGACTGCTTCAAAAGTTCTCTGTGTGTTAGGCTGTTTACTCTATACTGGCCATAGCGGTTCATCTGATCCATTTTTCACAATGGGCCCTTCCCTTGACTACCATACACATCTTTACCGACTTTGCACACATTGTCAGGTTCACTTCAGAGTATTTTACTGTATGATGATGATTCATTCATTGGTCTCATTTGGCAAATGCGGTGAAGACTACTAACCTGATAGCATTTCGCACTCTGTTAAAGATAGGTACTACATTGAGTAGAAGTGAAATAAATCAGTCTGATTATCTATACTGTGGCCAAGTGAATAGTATGCTGACGTTCTGTCTGTGAGAATCCGGGGTTGCAGATTCGCATTGCTAGTGAGACCCATCCACGTCAGTTTCAGTTCAGTTTTAACAACCATTAACTACGCACTTTCGTGTGCCGGTTTTGGCTACTGTCTCAAAACTACCCTACTGTGTGAAGGAGTAAGGAGAAGATAAGAATGTTCAAATCAGTGTCAGAGAGAAAATAGAGAGATCATCAAGACTAAGGTTTCAAGTAGTTTGAGATGCGCCAAAGCCATTGTTTACGATTTAGCCAAATCACTCAGTGACCCTAACCATTGATTCCAATNATTCCAATTATTCCGATGGTCCGATCCAGGAAGCCTAACGCGGCCTATGTGAGCGAGCCTCCTGATCAGGTTTTCCACACCCTCATGCCACTCTTTGTTTTTTCCCAGCCATCGCCTGCCTCGGAATACAACGCGTGTCTTAGCAAACCATTTGGTGACCTGCATAACACATGCCCCGACCAACGCGGTCTATGAAGGTCGACTACTTCCTCCAGTGGGCGACCGCGGTTACCTAAAACTCTAAGCTTAACCTCAGTTCATTTTCTACAACCATTAACCGTGCACCTTCATGGGGCTATTTTGATTACTGTCTTCAGACTGCCCATCTGAATAAAAGAGCAGAAGGAAGGTTGGAATGTTGACAGCAGAGTCGAAAAGAGAATTCATCAAGATAAAGGTCCCAAATAACTTAAGAAGAGGCTCGAGCGCTACTTCTTGCGACATTCGGTGTCTCTGAACGTCGGTTAGGATGATCCCGAGATTCCCATCTAGGGTACCGATCACAACCACATCGAAACAACTATACAGAGCTTCCGAATTTTTCATTTTGTAACCAAAATTAACCTTCCATTACTTTCCTGAACCATGTGTTTTTCAAAGTGGTATTTGGTTACTGTTATCAGTTCGTTCTCTACTTAAAGGTACGAAGTTTGAACCCTGTGATATTCATCCCAAGAGATTGTCAGGTGGTCGTCGTCCTACTCAAGTTCTATGAAGTTTATCACACCAATATCTAAGGGATTAGGTAATCATGTTCCAATGCATTGACGCTAGGTGTTCGTCACTATGAGGTTTATCCAGTTTATTGTTCAACACACGCAGTGGTGAATAATACTTCGAAACAATGATAGTGATGATGATGATGAATTCAAAGTACATGAACTCATAAAAAATTGGAATTATTCACAATCTCGATTTTCCCGTGATTGCATCACGACTGGTCCTGGAATTGTAAATTCCCTTGGTCCAGATAATACAGTTTGAAACAATCAATTTGTTGAATCAGAGAAACACATCGATTTTTTAACTCGTTGAATAAGTTCGCATCCGGTAGATTCAATTCGTTTGACGGATTCTGCCATATGCGCAGGGCATCATCTCCAAGCCGATTGCGTAAAACCAGACCTGGATTTGTATCTGTCACAACCCATATACCATGAAAATTGATCTTTGTTGGGTTCGTCAGACCTTTGGAAAGCACCGGTTGAATCATTGGGCTTCCATAGAGATCCACATTCCAATAGAAAGATCGTAGAGAATAATGCGGACACGCATCATTTTGTCCGGATATGCATTTAGTCAAGTTCGTTGACCCTTTCTGAGCTGCATCATGACTGCTTAGTTTACAATGATAATTAGCGGACAACTTTTCGCGGATCTCAGTGACAATTAGGNTTTTTGGTCACATCCCAACTGATCTTTAAATCGTCCTTATCGTTCAGTAGGAAACCATTATGAAATTTGATTGGAGCCAGGGCGGATGAATGGCTAACCACGGTTGAGACGTTATACTCGTCAGACAGTTGAAGAAAACCTTTGACACAACGGAGAAGATCATTTAGACAGCAGGCAGGCAAGACCATTCCCAATTTACGCAAACGCCAACAATTCAGTCTAGATTCAACACAACTCAGTTGATGATTCACTCCTCCCGGAAGGACTATACGGTCGATGGACCATTTCTGAGCAATGTTCAACCAATTCTTTCTCGGGATCTCTGGAAGGTCCCAAGTACGTCTTGAATTTTGGCCTTTCACATGAAACATGACATCCATGCAGCCGAAAATACGCGTTTGGACAGTGTATCCATCCGAGAAAGGCAATCGGTAAGAGATGGTGAGAAAAAGGTCCACAAACGGGATTGCTCCGGCCATATCGGATACGGACATAAACTTGAGTAAATCCGAACGGCGAATAAGAAACGGAGAGGTCAGGTAGTCACAAACGGCACAAGATTGCTTCGAATACTCGTGTCCCGGTTGAACATGGAGGGAATAATTTAGCAGTGTGAGCTGAAAATGAACGTTCACTGATAAAATCAATAAAAAGCAATACAAGTAGGTTAGTACTATAGGGTTATTGTTCATCAACCGGGCAATGATACGGTTGAACGTGCTAGTAATGTAATCCGATGCACTATTAAAATTTATTTGTTGCTAATCTCAACAACAATAAAAAAAAATTCGACGGGCTTTCATCAGTCTTTATCAGACAAGTTTAGAAAAAATTGCGTCTGTGCACATGACACAATGGAATAAATACAAGAATTTTCTCGGTCTGACATAAATCGGTTCACTTCAGCATATGGTCCTCATCGATTCGACTCTTCAATAGATTTATTTCAGTAATATTGAAATTGCAATCTAGGAACAACCTCATGAATGGGTTACGTACTGATCATTGGTTTATTATAGGTCCGTTTCTGTGTTAGCTTAAGTGTTTCAACCATAGCCTGTTGGAATATCGGTTGGACAATGAGTAGAGTCGATCGCGATTGATGTGGTTTTGGTATCACGTTCATCCCAACCGGCCTACCTATTTAGGTGGCTACACTTTTGCACACTGTGGACGTCAAAAGGATTCAAATTGGATCAGTCTAATTCTACCTGGACATGGAAGGAAACACTCAATTCATATGGACCAATCTTTTTTCCTTCGTCTCAGTTTTAAAAACGTCCAATCTTAGTACCTTGTGGGTTTGAGGCTAGTTTCTGTTCAGTTTGTATAACCATTAACCATGCACTTTAGTGCTGGTTGCTGTCTTTTGGCCGCCCATTTGGGTAAAAGAGCAGGATGAAGATTAGAATGCTGAAAGTGAATTCAAGCGGAAGACAGGTTTTCGAACTCCGACAATCTATTTTTATCCTGTTTCTGTTGTGGCCAAGTCTCTGCACCGTAGAGCAGCACTGGTCGAACTGCTGCATCATATACTCGAACCTTCACAGACAGTCGGATGCCGCGACGGTGCCAAAGATGTCTGAAGTTGGCAAATGCCACCCAAGCCTTTTGTATGCGCGCCGACACTTAATCTGTGATGCGTCCACCAGGTTAGAAATAGCTGCCCAGATAGCAAAACTTGTCTCTTTCCTCTCCTACTTCCCCAGTCAGGGTGAGGCCAGTGGTGCAATGGAAAACAGATACGATACCAGTTCACATGAAAGGGCTGTAAAAAAGGAACTAAACACTCACACGTCTGCTCAACTTGTTCGAGAATTCGTTCGACCTAATTAAACCATTGCTCGGTCATGTATAAAATTATATTATATATCCCGAGTTGAGGAAATGTCTTTCCGGAGATTGTAATTAACGTTAGCTGAACTGATAGACAATAATTTTGAGCTTTAAACGATTTGAAGGTTGTGATCAGTTACGCGAATCCACGGAGGTGAACGGATGGTCTTTATAGATAGAAAATTGAGTTGAAATTTCATTTTGAATTCTTCATTGAATGAAGGATTTTATTCAATCAACATGACAAATGTATCCAACCCTAGGTTCATATGTATTAATAAGCGACTGGTCAATTTCAATAGTCAACTTTCAACATTCAACATAATATATGTTACACCAATTGGAAAATTGACTGTAAAAAGGGAAACCATAAGACTGCGTCGTGGTGTGTGAGTAACATCTTGCACCATGAACACTACCATAACCATAGTGGATTTCAGAGAGTTTCTCTAGCCACAGATTGGACAGACTCGGTAACTCCAATACAGAAGTTCTGAGTATAATAACATGCGGTTAAGTTCAATGGAATGACCACTCAGTTTTATGCTCGAGACCATGATTCGTCTACCTCATCAGCTCCCCTCCCAAATAAAACCGGATAACCTACATCATAAATGCGCGTATACTGTATGCATCCACTATTTTGAACGCATCACTCAGTGAAACATACTTGATAGCATCCGGAATACCAAAATCCCTCGGGTTCCAATCTGATAGCCCCACCGACCACTTTGACCTGCGATTCGCTGTTTATCACACGGAGCATTCGGTCCAAATCTGTTTGCCTGGTAAAATCGACCAGATTGCGACCAACTAGCACATATTTGGTCTCACTGGAATTGGCCAGTCGATACCACGTACTCGCCTCGTCCCGCACATTTGTGAACATGACGTGCGGTACAAACATGCATTGGGACGTGTTAGTGGCAAATCGAACCGGTAGACGAGGATAGATTACCTGAATGCGTCTCCACAGACGCATAGCTCGACTACACGTGTCCGCATAGATCAGCAGGGTAATCAGCTGATTTAGTGGTATTCGAAGACAGTCTTCTGTTTGGTATGTGTGGCTCACTAAAAAATCTTCCGTTTGAATACGTAATTCACGACATGTCTCGGTTGACTGGTTCGTCCCCGAAAACGATTCAAACACATTGTCCGATTGAGCATGGTAATCCATTTCACTGGACGGAATCTCACTATCGGTGAGTATTATGATCCGACTCAACAGAGCTCGTATTTCACCCGAGTAGGTGGAATGATAGATTTCTGAAATGTGTTTGTACAACCCAGGCGTGCTGAATGGAATGGACCAGTTTAGCTGTCTGTTGGAAGGGGTTTATTGCAATAAAACAAAAAGATAATAATGATACGACGTGCACAATCAGATGGAACCATCAACCAGCATTCAATGTCCGTAAGTCAGACCTATTTCTAAGATGCTTTCGTAAACTACATCGTACAGCTGTTTCTTTATTTTGAGGAACAGATGATAGCAGCTGCGTAAATAGATACATAAAAAATTCCATCATAAATGATTATCAACTTAGGTCTCTTCATTGGGATTGTTGCAATTCGTTTTCTATTTGTGTGGCGAATGTCCTTCAACCAAGGCAGTCGAGTCTCCACGGGTAGCCCTAGGTGTTAACCAACAGGGAGTCGTTGTTAACAACACACGTGTTACATAATGAGGCGATCGCAATCAGAAGCCATTTCACTCAATACTCCGGACTTGGGAAAATGGTGAATCAACTGTAAGTACGACTAGAGGGTTACCGGAAGGTGAATAAGTGGAAAGAAACTTTGAGGGACTTAACGCATCGTTGTTGTAGAATGTGAAGACTGTGCGATGCTGGACTCGTAGATCCGATGTTTGAGTGATGGTCTCAATGATGGTATTTTCGTCCGTATATTTTCGGTGTGTCGGATCGACCCCGAATGTGCACGGTTGAAACCTATTCAGCAATTCTTACCAGTCTACTGGCGAAATCCGACTAATTTTCGGGTCTATCGAGCACTACTCTAGGTACACTAAACCTTTTCAACTTCAAGTGATTCCAACCAATCGCATCCTACAGGGACCCCTCGAAGTGATTGGTGCCTCAGCCGTCACACGTCACCGATTGGATCGGGTCTATCTAAATCTCGTCCAGGCAGAACGAACTGACTTCTCCATAGACAGACAAAAGTACTTTTTGAATGAGTTCCCGAACGAGGATGAAAGTTTCAGTGGGGTGGGGTCTGGCAGTTCGTCCGTCCTCTTCCCATCCCCCCTCCTGGAAACTGTATGCCCTAGTTGATCGAGCGAGCTTCATAGACGGGAATGAACTAACCCGACGATGATTGACGTCGATCAATCGTATCGATAAGCGTACCGTGACCAGTTGGATCGATAGTGCGATGGCTACGAACGTGTATGAATGTGATCATGATCTGTTGGATGGACTGGTTCAATCTCAACCCTCGGCAACATAGTGATTGGCATTCCATTAAGGCTAATTTTCCCTAGAACTTTATCACTTTTGGAGAACGAACGCATTTGCTTAATTTTTTACATTGAATGTACAAAAATTAACAAAAGCTGAGTTTTGACCGTGGGCTATAAAGTAAAAAAATAGCAGTGATTAAGAGTGCACTTATTTACAGATCACCATAAATTGGATTGTCTACAGCGAACCACGGACTAGCTGTTGTATTTTGCGTAGACGCTCTAATACCTAGTGACTTACAATTAACCTCAGCATGACTGATCCGGCCATGCCATCCCATTCAGTGCTTGCCTAATAGGAAGCCAATGGAGTGGAGTGGAAGCAAGTTTAAAGATGCTCACTCCTCCTCCAGCAACCGCGTTTTCCAGTTTTGAGTGACAGGGTGCGTTGTCACACACACAGTCACATATGATTTGTGCTCTCTGGCAATAATTGGTAGACGAGCATTTGCAATCATTGTAGGCACAATACGGAGTTGTGGGATCCTCTTTTCAGAATATACTTTAACAACCCACCAGCATTCATAGCATCTATAATGTGCAGATTTCTTCCTCTCTAACTAGTCACTGGCATTCGACAGCATGGACCTCTTGGAGTACGCCTAAAATTTCTTGAACAATGTAGACTGAAGTTGGTTTCAGCAATTCATATAATCTCATTTCCAAGAATCTCGCACCATTCAAAGTTTAGAACATATCTAGGAAGAAATGACTACAAAACAGGTCGTTATATTATCATTTCCTCCTCTATTTATTATCTAGTAAGTTCATCTTTACTGGTATTTCATGAATATTTGTGCTTTTAACAAGTTTTCCATCTAAGTAGTTACTGATGGTAATGATGGAAATTTCTTTATCGTATTCCGCTCTGAGTTTCATCCTTGGAAATGAGAGTGTTACAGTTGAATATTTTCTCAATCCGTGAAATTAGTTCCTCTACATAGTAATTCGATAACTTATTAAACCGCCTTCCTCCGTGGGTTAATTCTGACGATTCTTCCTGATGTTTTTGTATCCATATCATCGCTGTCCCTTTTATTCACACCAAGTGATGCAGCGATAATCAACCAGTCATCACCATTGTCGTATACCCGTAGTACACTATTTTTACAGTTCATTGCCACTGGAAATAGTTGTAGCTTTCAAGAGATACTTCATAGGGTAAACTAATCCACCAATGATTATCGTATTGAATCCGAACTTGCCAAAGATACAATAAGGATAAGAACGTATGCAATGAGGCTGAGTAACGAACAGAGAGCCTGCAGGTGGCGGATTGTTACCATGGGCATTGTGGACTGAATGTAATAGTCATCACGGAATGACAGAATATGTAATTTCTGTTAGTTTGTAAAAAGGTTCGAATTTGATCTTATTATTCAGGCGAAATACTATGAATTCTTCCACAGTATCCTTGTACCCTTGTTAAGTAACTTATCCATTGCGTATTTCGATGCCAGAAATATGTGGCCAATTGCATTTAGTTCAAAAGAATTGGTGCTTTTGAGAGAACCTCGGCCTAAATGGAATTTACTTACTGGGTTATTTAGGGCCTAGAATGAATCCGCACATGCAGTGATCTATTTCAACATTCACGGCCGGGCATGGTGATCGGTTTATCGATCCGTCTTAACGTGAAATGTTTTCCTCACCCGGTCGACCGAGGTCAACAACTGTCGGGCTCGTTCATTTACCTCAATGAGGCATAGTCGATCAACGGTCGCGGACTTAACGTTCCCGGTGGGTGAGAGAGGGGGGGAGGAACTGCCCACCCCACCGAAACTTTCATCCTCGTTCGGGAACTTCCTAAAATATGCTTTTGTTTGTATACTGAGAAGTTAGTTCACCCGGTCTGGACGGGGTTTAGACAAATCCGGTCAAATCGGTGACGTTTGACGACCGCAGAACCAAACATTTTATGGGGTTCCAAGTAGATTTGTTGGATTTGCTTGAAGTTACAACGAATTCACTTGAAGTTGGAAAGGTATAGAATACCTCGGTAACAACTCATCATACTTGTTTCAGAGCAGCTATCAATACCCACACTGAGTGACCAATAATAAACTACGGATCACGTTGTTTAGATTGTTTCATTGGCATGAACTAAAGTGATTAGAAATGGAAGTACCGTGCCGTAACCTTGTGTGATCAATATCACTGAAAAAATTAGGAATCGGTACGATAATTCTGTCCCAGCTCAGCTACGAACATGCAAGTCACAGTCTGATTACGAACTCCCGAGCATAGTGTAAATTTTTGACGTAGTGGCGCGTGAGATTGTCCTCAGAGATTCGTAATGATACCTGTGCATCGCGATCAATATCATTAGATAAACAAAATTATCTCTCGGAATAGAAAATTCATTTAAGTCATTAATGAGGATTTATGTCATCTAGAGACTTGGTGTATGATCGATTCAAATTCCACATATGATCTCAATTTAAAATTAATCCTTAATAAGCCGTCACGAGAATCTTCCCTGATCAACATCAACCGAAATTATTATTATTATTATTATCATTACTAATATTATTATTATTTGTCTGAACAGTCCCACAGAGCACATTTTCAAATAGAACAAGGAGTGGCGAACAAGCTCGTTTTCAGTGATTCGTAGTCATGCCAAATACATCGCAATAAATATTACGCTGTTTATATATAAATCAGTATTCAATCATAAAAAACGTATACAAATGTTTCGGGAAAGGGAAAATAACCTCATGGGTTATCTGAGGCTAAGTTCATCTTGGGACCGATTGGCAAGATTGCGTGCTTACAACTCCGATGTATTTCTGTTATATTTCATAACGCATTTGGGCTACTCGTTAGTAGTCACGAACAAATGACAGCAGAGTTAGGTATGATTTTTATAAGACAAGGTCACTGTTACGCTTACCAGACAAATTAGGCCGGAATTGCCAAGGGAATATGTGAGACCAAGGGACTGAAATTTCAAGCCTAATCCAAATTCCCATTGGATTCACTGCTGACTTACTGTTCTTGTTTGGTATCAGGCTTGTAATGTGCGATAGACCATACGAAGAGGAGGAACGAACACAATGTGAGGACATGAATTTTCCGCATGATCTGGTTTTTGGAGACAACAAAATGATAGAACAAAATAAGAGGCAGACAGCAGTCACAGTGAGCACACTTGTGCAAACACATTGACAAATTACATAATATGAACAACTTTGAGCGAAAACACATGCTTTCTTCGTTTTTCTGTACGTTGCTGTACGACGAATACTCTAGGTAGGTAGCCTCTTTTATTTGTCCACATAATCGTCTCAGTTATCATGTGGGTACGTTGGTCAGCGTAAAGCTTGGTATACCAACTGAAAAAGACCATCTTGCGCATTACGTAACATTGGAGCGTAATCAAGCCGGATCGGAAAACAGGCAATGATGATGATATATGATGGCAATGATGATATCTCAATACAGAAGTATGATTTATCAGAGTAATGGTTTTTAAAATACACCAAGCTGGTGAGTGCAGAAACACTTCATTCTATCATTATTAATTTATCACTATCATTCTCCATAGAAGAGATTGGTACTTTTTAATTACTCAAAGTATATGTATTATTAATAAATGAATATATAGACGCGGGTCTTTTAGAAACTGAATATTTTGGAGTCTTCCAGATAATGATATACCGGTATATATTTTCATAGCCTGTAACCGT